AAGATTGTTTCCTATAGACCCTCAGCTCAAAAGATAACAAACACGCCCTTGCCGGGATCAAACCCGGGTCACAACCCGGGTCACCCAAGTAACAGGAGGGGATACTCACCACTATACTACAATTATGAAGCTAACCATGATTCTTGAAACACTCTTCCTGTTCATCCTTTTCTTTACAAATACCACAATTCTAGCTCTATGAACTTGATTAGCCCCTGCAGCTATACTCTATGTCAAAGACGAGTCCATTCTTCGCGTACACTACTTGAGACAAGAATATCATCATACAACCCTTTATTTCAATTTTTTAGGTCTAATTGGCACGGAATTATAGCTCAATACACACAATCATCGCACAGAGCTTTAGGTAATACCTTATGATATCCTGGTGGAACATCAACAGTCCTCTGAAAAACGGCAGCCGAACCCTCCACCAAATTCATCGGTATCTGCTCACTCCATCTGCACCACCCAATAATCTCTCAGCTGTTAGTAGGCACATAACATCAAACATGTAGAGTGCACTTTGGAAAATCATCAAGTAATTGAAAAAAATGAAAAATACCCATCAAAGGAACCGCAGAGAAAAACATGAATACCACCATGGCTCCATGTAAAGGTAAGTAGTACCATTTCCACTTCAGATACAGAACTTGTTCCTTTGTGTGATTTTGTATAAATACATGGTTTTGGGCAACTAATAGTAAAAAAAGAAAAAAATCAATAGAAATAGCAGAGGAAAATGGTGGAGTAAATGAGCATCGGTATCTCCGTATGAGCAGAAGCCAGCAAAGAGGGGAAATTGTATTTAAACAAAAAAAAAATAGGCATGGATACGACATGATAATATGATGTTTGTGTAGTTTAATGTTGAAATAGTTTCAACAAATTCTCCATTGGTTCACTTTCCTTTCCCAAAGTTTTTTTCTTTTGTCATTAATACTCACTTGTGTCTCATTTGAAGAGGAGTTACTCGAATAGTAAATATGATAAAAAATTTAAATATTATATATTTAAAATTTTGAGTTTGTGTCGATCAAGGAGCAAAAGTAAAAACTTCGGAAGAGGCTAAAGAGAAGAACTCGACTCTTTTTTTTTTTATCCACATCATTTTATGTTTTTATCGTTATTTGTCTCATATACTTTTAGTATTTAATTAGATTATTTATATAAAAACAAAATGAATAAAAAAGAGATGAAACATTATCCACAGCTAACATAACTCTATACATATGCCTCGCTATTATTTTGATGTATGATCCTACATTACAAAAAATTATTTAGAAAAACAAAAACCTAATTTCGAAGGTATTATATGAAAGAAAAAAATCATAAATATATTTTTCTTGATATTTAAAAGTGACAAATAAAAGTTAAAACGTATTTTAAATATATTGAACAAGTAAAAATAAACTAACGGGAAATTAATTGAGTAGAATTTTCAACTACTAATGTACATTTTTCTTCATTTTATATTTACTTTATTATTGGGGTATTTATAAATTTTAAGAACAATTACTACCATGTAATAAAATGGAAGGAATAATTAATTTTGTCTTAAATTTTTAAATTATTTTTTAAAAAAAAGTAACGGTAGATAATTTGTGACAAAAGAAATACCCATTGTTAGGGCTTTTTTCCGGTAAAATTGTTTGGCTTTAAATAGCAAAAAAATTAGTTTCTGTTTCATATGTCCTATGTGTTTGGCCTCTTTTGATGTTTATAGGTGCATGATTATTATAAGGAAATTAAATTGTAAGTTAACGTTTGAAAATTACATTGGAGTAACATAGACGTCTTGTTCCTATATAGAACTATGTTTCATTACTTTTTCCACGCATCAAATATTTCGTTTTCATAAAGTAAAATTTTTTTACGTATCAAATACTTTGTTTTTATTGGGTGATTTATTTTCCTTTCTTGACCTCACAAAAGACAGTTATGTTATACATTATATAATTACTAATAATTTGAGAGTTAAAATCCTACGAATCATATATCATAAGTTTTTTTAGGCCAAAAATCTATGGAAACAACTCTTTATCTTGTAGTAATTACTCATGAAATCATATTGAGTATATTATTATCATGATTGCGCTAATAATATTTAAAACATTTACATAATATACATCACTTGAAATAAGATTACAGGTAAAGTTATTTATTTTTAAAGAGAGAAAATAAATCTCTTGTGTTTGGCCAGGGATCTCTTAGATGCATTTGAGATACTCTAAAGCTAAATATCAAAAGTGAACCCTTTTAATATTCGATCGAATTTGGGTAAGTTATTAACTTTTTTAAGTTTGTCAAAAGTGAAAAAATTTCATCTTTGTCAAATACAATTATTAAGAGTGAAATGATAAAACGAAAAAAAAAAAGGATTTAACATAAAAAAAATTAAAAGAAAAATAATTTTGATATGTACCTTTTAATAAATAGTTATTTATTTTACTAATACTTTTTACTAAGAAATATTTAACAATATTATGTCAAATTTGGAATATGCATTAAAAAGTGAACTATGTATGCAATATATATGTATTATACTATTTTTTTTTGGAAAAGACTTAAATATGTCATTGAACTTTCAGATTAGGCTCATTTAGTCATTTATGCAATCAGTTAAAAGTTTGGTTCATTTATGTCAATACTGTCAAAGTAAAGACTCATTCATGCCATTATTTTTTAACAATTATTTTGCAAATTCATTTTTGACACGTGACCAATTATAATTCGGTCACGTCATCAATTTTTTTAATAAAAAAAATTGACCACGCATCAAAAATGGTTTTGCAAAACCACCGTTAAAAAATAATGGCATAAATGAGTCTTTAGTTTAACGGTAATGGCGTGAATGAGCCAAACTTTTAACTGATAATATAAATGAGTCTTTTCTAAAAGTTCAATAGCATATTTGAGTCTTTTTCTTTATTTTTTTTTAAAAAAAATGTAATTTGGGTTTTGTTTCAACCCAATATGCCATGGTTTAGACTTCAAGCCCATTAATCCCTATTGGGTCGACCCAAGTATTCATTCAAGCCCATTAATTCAATAGGACACTATGGCTTAATTAATTGATTAGTTATATTAAATTAATATGATAAATTTCAGTTAATTAGTAGCTTCAAGAGACTTCCATGCCCAATAGCAATAACGTGAACTCCTTTTGTAGTTAACACGTGGCCAACTTCCGTTTGGTAAAATCATAGGGCCCTTGTCCTATTATATCCTAGGTGTCTCTCGAACCATCTATTCTTCAACTATTAAATGACCAATTGCAAACGCTTGCAATTGTATCAATCGGTCACACAGTTAGCAATCCATTTTACAATTCAATCTAATTACTTCGATACGCATAAATTTTTATGGCTTTCAGATCAGTGGTAAGTATAAAAATTGTAATTTAATTAATTATCTTAGATCAAACTGAAAATAAGTATTTTTTTTTTTTTCCGAATGTTGCAGTCTAGTCTAAAATCCACAGTTAATCACTTGAACAGAAGGTGTTCGTCACTAAATTATGCAACATCAGCCACGTCAAAACTTAAGGGAGCGTCACCCCTCCATCTCAAAGAGATTGTTCCCAAGTACTTCATTTAATTACTCGTAACTAATATAATATTTTTAATAATTTATCGCTACGGTACTCGTAGGAAATGAAATTTAATCGATAGGTGTATGTCAGGTCACGGAAGGGAGATTTGGTGCCAGTATGTATGGCGGTAGGGATGATCGGACTGTCAACGAGTTTCGGTATACACACGGCGATGCAGCAGCTGAGGCGAGCCCCTAATGTACATGTGAAGAAATCAAGAAGGGAGACTCTGCCAGAAATAGTGGAACCAGAGGATGTAGCTGAAGAGGCTGAAAAGTTTGTTAATAAATCTCTGTTTCGAAAAGTGGCTCATGCTAGCACTAGCAGTACTCGTGGACACATTTATACCAAGTTAGTATTTAATTAGTTATGATAAGTAAGTACTAATTCGTAATTGCTTTTCAATTTATACTTTTTATGTATGTGTTTGCAGGAAGCCGGGTGTGGAGACGTTGAAAACTATAGGAGTAGATCCAATGATGTAAATGAAAGGCTTGGTTACGTTGCATTTTGGACTTCAATTTCTAATCCGTAAAAGATGGTGAAACGTCTGTGTTTAAATCATATATCTAATAGGAAAACTTACATAAATATATTATAATAAAATCAATAATTATTTTTTTGAAATATACTAATTTATGTAATTTTTTCTATCTTAGTTGATGTTTTTAAGTATACGTGTTGGTGATATCCTTGATGTTGTGCATGTCAATGAGTATATGTGTCACATATAAAACATGTGGTACAACTTTGTGAATAGTACAGCAAGTCTGATGCAAATTGGGCTACTTTCCAATGCCGTTTGATCTTTCTTTGCCTTTTCTAAATGGATTGGAGGACTTTCGAGTACTCTGTTGATTATTACGTTAGAAAAAGAATATTAGATACCTACTTTTACAATGCAAAGAGACAATATATATAATTTTTCTAACTAAGTTTATAGAAGAGGTCAAGATTTGATTTAAGTTGATTCATGGAAGCAAGTATATAAAAATAAGATAAAATATGTTTTTTTATAAATTTGAATTTAAATTTAGTTAAACTTTAATATAAATATTAAATAAAAAAAGTTATTCCTAACAGACATGTATATTTACTATGTGAGTTTTGTTTATAAGAATTTAGATATAGTGAAATCATAATAAATAATTAAATTAAAATTTTAATATAAATACTGAACATTTGATAAAGAAATAAAAGAAGAAAATGCTCCTTGTAGAATTGTAATATTTTTTAAACCGTATATACAATTTTTTGTGGTTAATAAAACGGATTGGTGGTTACAATACTTGGAAATGATTTACTAACAAGTGGGAAATTTACCTAATTATACCCAAATGAACTTGTGAGTTATGCTTATTTAGTTAGCATAAGACATGAGTCACCGCTAGCGCAAAGTGGACTTGTTAGCTATCGACGAGTGTCCTTAACCCTATTACTTCGTGTCACTTATCCATGTCTCCACCATTATATATATAAGAAGAACCAGATATCGCAACAAAAGTTAAATTTACCTTTGTTCAGATTATACACTCAAATTTTGCATCAATGGCATTCAGGTCTTCGGTAAGTCAAGTTAGTTTATTAGTTTCTAGAGTTCACAGTTTTGATTGTTCAAATGTGTTTTGTGTTATACATTCATTGGAACTTTTTGTTTTACCTTGATGTAGAGTTTGTGGAAATCTATGGCTACTCGATCTAGTGCGAATTCTGCTTTTGCAAAATCAAATGTTACCAGGTCATTTTCTAGTACTGCTGAGCATCCAGATGCTAAGCACAGGTGACTTTTGGTTTATAGCACTTGTATTACAAAAAGTAACTAGTGTTATAGAATGAAAAACCTAATTTTACAATTAGGAAGGGGTGATTGCAATTTTGGTACTTTTCGGTTATTTTTTGGGTGTGCTGGTAATATTGCTATGTGAGCATTTGAAATCTAATAGTAGTAAACAATAGATTAAGAGAGATATTATCTCTGCTGTGGTGAATCGATCACTTGGACAATATCTAAGCTGTTATTTAGTTGTTTTGTTTCTAATATAGAAGCAATGTGTTTATGTTTAACTTGAAAACAGGGGATTCATGAAAGGAGATTTTGTTCCAGTGTATGTGGCGCTGGGACTAATAGCGATGTCAGTGGGTTTTGGGTTACAGACTGCGATGCATCAGCTTAAGCGGGCACCCAATGTATCTGTGAAGAAATCAAGGAGGGAAACTATACCCGAAGTCACCGAACCGGAAGAGGTTGTGGATGAGGCAGATAAGTTTATAAAGAAATCCTTCTTCCGAAAGGTGGCTCATGTTCAGGATTTCGATAATCAATCAGTCATGCATGATCCTATCCGTGGGGATGCTCTTGCAAGGTACTTGCGTTCATCTCTAGTATCATATTTGTAACTTGCATTGTCCAGGCTAAGTTCATAATGTGTGTTGTACTGTTGAGATTTGCCCTTCGAAAATGAGGCGCTTTGATACCATATTTGTCGGAAGGCCCGGAACCAGACTCATCACATGTATAGCCAAGTCTGATGAGATTTTGCCCTTGAGCTTCAGCTCTGGCACCATCTGTCACAAGCAATGGCCCTTGAGTTTGCCCCTTCTAACTGGTCTCTACAGGCCAAGTTTGACATTTATGGTCCGATTTGACCCAACAATTGTTCCTGTTGGGAGTGTTGATCATATCTTTGGTATAAAATGATCAGTTATTTATTGAAATAGCCGAAAGGATATACATATTCTACTAAATAACGAAATTCATGATCCATCCTATTTACAAAAAGATGCACACTGGAAGTTTGAATGTCAGTCTCCATTTTTGCTGTTTTAAATTATATATGGTCTTTATTTTATTGTAACGTATGTATGTTTAAAAAAATGTGGTTTGGTTTTGTGATTTTCTTGGTGTCATTGTAGGGAACCTCACGCTGTAACATTGAAATCTGTGGGAGTGGATCAGTAATTGAAACACTTGACGCATTTTGGATCCAAGATTTGCAATTGGAGTAGTACTTTGAAGGCGTTGTAGCGACGTTCTCATAATTTTTCAAGAGATGTATATATCTATCGTCGCAGCATTAAATAAATTACAAAACGCCGATAGGCATGTATGTAAACATATATTTTCCAGCTAATTATGTTACAGAGTTGGAACAAGCAGTGGTTGTATGTTTTATGAGATCTTTTGTTAGCTTTGAAATGCTGGCAAGTTTTGGATTGAATTTGCAAGTACTAAAAGAAAAATAGATCTTTCACTATTTGAACTTGCTTCCAATAAAATGGATCCTTACATCTATTTCTAGTTTCCACTCATATTATGTGAATTAATATCACTACCTGAACAACATACTTTTAAGCATCCTCATTTTCGAAGGAGTTTGTCATCAATGTTTTGATAATCATGTAATATTTGTTCTTCTCTAGTTATTTTCTTCTAGTTCATTTTATTTGCACTTACGAATTTGGTTGACAAACTTTATTTTATTATTATTGAGAATTATTGTTGAGTATTGTGGGAGTTCACCTGTTCAATACAAGTTGGTAGCTTACCAGTTATGTTGGATTTCAAATTATATTTTTCAGAGGCTATTCAAGTTGGTCCTACAGTTATGTTCGATTTCAAATTATAATTTTTATAGGCTACTCAACACTACATTTTAGTTCATGTTGGAAAATACGCTATTAATGACCTTGAATTATGAAATTCTAAATTCTAATTATGTTAGTTCGAGAAATGTAACTACACCATGTTTGTAATTATAATTTAACTTTCAATTATTAAAATTGTCGCCAACAATTATTAATTGATATATTAATAGAAAATTGTTTTTTCTTAATTTTATTTTGGGAGCATATACTTCTCGTAGTTGGCTGGCTCTTGAGTTTTCCTTGTTTTGTGAAACTAGCAGCGATTCAAACCAGACTTGAAGGTACTCACTTCATGCAATGCCATTATTGGTGCATAGGGCTATACACTGATAAATCTTTATTTACTAGATAAAAGATATATCTAATGGCCTTATTCATTCATGACATATGTGCTATACAATAATTTATGGTTGAGATTTATTTAAATTATATATTTATTATTATAATAAAAACAATGAAGTTGTCAATTTTTTTATTTTTCAAAACTATTAAATATGATACCAAACTGATATTTTTAAGAAAAAAATTTAAGATCAACGGAAATAAGCAAACTTCCTGATTTTTTATTCGCTGAACTTCTTTGGGAGTAATTTCACAAATGCTTTCTCAAAATTTTGAAGTAATCTTCAAAAATAGATCAAATCTAAAAATACCATTGAGTTATAAATAAAAATTCAACTAAAGAATATGATAATACTTTTTAAAAAAAAAAAAAAACATACTTGGAGGTTTTCAAATAATTATAAAAATATATTTTTTAGATTCTTCAAAAGTTTTGAATTCTTAAAATTAGCATTAATTTAAAAAATCCAGTACAAGTACAAGTTTGGCAGGTAAAAAAGTAGGGAAATCCGCATATTTCCGCTAGTCTTATTTTTCTTCTTGAAAATATTAGGTTAGGATACACTAAATTGTTTTATTTGATATTTCAAAAAATAAAAATAATTGATGATTTTGTTGTTTTTATTATTATAATAAGTATATAATTTAAATAAATTTCAACCATAAGTTATTATATAGTACACATGACATCAATTTATAAGATCATTAAATATTATTTGACCGTATCGGATAGTTAATCATATTATTAATTTTATATATAATAATTTATCTTCTTATCAACTATCAAATGTAATACATACATAATAATACTTCAATTATTTTCTATTGGAGATGTGCACTATTCACCTTATAATAATACTTCAATTATTCATTCTTTCTATAGGAGATTTGCACTATTCACTACCAGTTAATCGACTCTAGAGAAGAAAAAAAAATAGTATGTGTACCCGAGGCTGCTTAAAAAATACAAATGTAATCCATAATTGAGAAGGATCAAGAGTGGTGTAAAAAGTATGTGATGGTGGCAAATACCTACTGTAGGAAAACTTTACAAATGTAAATCATTGGATTACAGGCCATAGAAAGTGGCGAAATCAGAATTTAAAATAAGGGGGTTTAAAATTCATAGTAATAGACATACGAAGTAGTCGAAGGAGGTTAGACATCTACTATATATATATATATATAAAATATTATTTTAACCATATATAAATAGTATAATTTTTCGTCGAAGAAAATTCGAATGAACCATTATATCAAGGTGGATCCGCCCCTGCCCATAGACACTGACTTGTACTGTACACAAGGTACCTAGTAGCCATCTTCTTAAATCCAGAATATCTTCTTCTTATTTATTTAGTGTTTATTTATTATTGTTGTTATTTCAAAATTAGATGTACAAGAGTGAATTATAAAATGATGAATCGAATCTTTAATAATAGAGTTAAAATTCTGTCAATTAATTATGCTATACTAAGATTCCTCGATGCAGAGTATTTATCACTTATAGATCTAGAGTAGAGAAGAAAAAGATAATTAGGCAAGTACTATATACAATGGAAAAAAATAATACAATTGAAAAAGCATATGCTTGACTCTTCAGCTGATGAATGAGCAACCTTTCTGATATTTGCTTCACGTTTTCCCCCCTATGAGTTGGGGCACATAGCTTTAATTAAGCTTTTTTTTCCTAAAAATATATAGAAATGACAAATGGGGACACGTAGGGCTAGCTTGTTTTACATGGTCATTTAAATTAAAGTAGTGATTAGATAAAGTAATAATCCAGTACTCATATGATGTCAGGTTAAAATTAAGATTAGATAAACGAATATTTATTAATTATACAAAGTCTAATTATTGCTATAGGCCTAGGACCTAGCTATAATTTTTTTTTTTTGTTGGGTTCAATAGCTTATATAAATCCTGCTATTTTCTTGGCTGGTTGTTCTAAAGAGCCAAGCAGTGAGAACAAAAACAGATATTCTTTTCTTCTTTTCAATTGGAGAAGTTTCCAATTGCCCTCAAAAGCTTCCAATATTTCAGCTTCCAGCTCATTACTATATAATAGTTATAATAAAAAGTAATTTCGATGCACAAAACATTTTGTGTTAACGTAATTATTAATATATCGCGCGCCTTTACTGCGGCATTGAAATGTTGGAAGCTTGCGAGGCTCTTGAAGCCTTTACTCCTTTCCCTTTGATAATTTTACAGTGTATCCAAAATGGAAATAGAAAAAACATGCATGCATATTGCATGGCCATGGGATGAATGAAAGAGGACCAACATTCAAATGGCAATTAAGGTACATATATGCTTAGCAATGCAAAAAATATTTTTTTAAAATTTATTGTGAACTCAATTCTGATTTTTTTAAAAACTAAAATTTACATATTTGAGTGTTGCTTAGAAGTATTATTATTATTAGTTCAAAAAATTTAAATTTAAAGTATCTCTAACAATTTGAACATCATCACATAAATTAAAATAAAGAGAGAATTTTTGTTAATATTAAATCGAATATCTGTTAGAAATATTATCTCTATTTTTCGAGCTTTTTCGAATTTCGAGACCCCATATGTTACTTATTGTTGTTGTCGCAGAGAGTACCAATCGATTAGTCAATTACTCAAATTTATGAGTTACTCTTGTTTATCATACACGTGTCATATATAGAGTTCGAATTCATTTAAACATTAATTATTTGATAGTTTATTTGGTTAATTAGAATTGTAGTATCTATCTATCTTCTCTTATTTTATTTTCCATTTCTCTGAATAAGAAAAAATCTCCTTTCTTGTGGCGTTTATGCATGGCTCTCTGGCCTGTCTCTTATTTTCACCTAATTAATAGAGTATTTGGTTTGGTGTAAAAATTGGTTGAGGATAATGTTTAGATTGATTTTTAGCCTATAACTTATAATTAGAATTTTTAACTTATAGTTTTTGACTTTTTTTGTTATTTTGATTTTAGAATAAGTGTTAATAAACACTTTTTTAATTTTATCCAAGCACTTCAAAACTGCTTAACAGTTATTTTAGCTCAAAAAAAATTCAAAATAAGTCAATCCGAACGGAACTAAATCTACTTTTCAAGTCAGAATTTAACTTCTGAAAAGAATTTGGCAAAAATAAAAATAACGTTAAATAAATTAATAATAACTTAAAATAAGTTGAAAATAATTTAAAAGTCAAAATTAGATCTCCCCTACATTTTATTTTTTAACTTAAGTTGTTTCAAATTAATATTTTATTTTTTTAATTTAATAATTATATTTTTTAAATCAATACAAACGGACTCTACAAAATATTATGTAATAGTCCAAAAGAAAAGGTTCCTTTTGAACTTTATTGGTTTCTTCCTTTTGTAATATTTCTAAGAAAGAAGCATAATATTATATTGTAATTCAGGTTAGTTAGTACTAATTGGTTTATTTATACTATTGGTCAGGTAAAGCTTTTCTGTTTTCTTCTGATATTTCATTATCTTATAAACTATTTGATACTAAAATCTTACAAAATTCTAATTTGCCATCCATCAACATTCTGTTATTAACTAATCCCCTATATTGAGACTATCTGTGATGCTTATAATCGTTGTAATTATTGCACCTCTTTGCATATTGCATAAGTTACTATTTCCTTAGTTCGTTATTATTTGTTATGGTTTTTATTTTTAGAGTCAAATATAAAAACTTTGACTAATATTTTAAGATGCATTTTTTTTTATCATATTAATATGCAAAAAATTATAATTTATAGTACTTTTCGTATAGTTTAAAACATTTAATTTTTTTATTTAAAATATCGAATTAATGTGATCTAATTTACCTTTAAAAATTAATCAAGTTAACTTTTGGTAAACGCAATATGTCAAATATTTCCGGACAGAAAGAGTATGTAATTATATTGCAAATTAAATGATAACAAATTTATAAATGGACAAATTAAAAGGGAAAAAAGCAATGACATATGCATAATTTTAGACGCCTACGTACATATATTTCACATAACAAGACAATTAGTGCTTTGCGGAACCATAACAAGAATTCCAAGGTTATTTGTATATTTGTTTGAAAATAATTAATAAAAAACATAGGGTAACAAAAAGAGTTTTATTAGGGTTCTCAAAAAAAATTACTTAAGTGGGATTTAATCATGGAATTTGGACAACTTATATAGTTCCAAATTTCAGTAAAATTATTTGTTTCTTACAATGTTAGTCTGCTACAGGAGTACTAGTAATAGCTTCATTGTTAAAGACA